TCCACCACATAGAGGAACATTGGGGACCAGCGGCCCATGCGTTGCGCACACCTAGTGCTTCTTATAGGAAAACATTGAATCCAGTGGCGCTCTGTATGACAAAGGAGCTTGGAAGACTTTTTTTGAGGTGGTGAATGGAAATGGAATGGAGGAAGAATAAGTGAAGTGATTATTCTGCAGGCCGTTTGGGAGATTTCTAGGCAAGTGCATATGAACCAGATGAAGAAGATAAAGAAGACATCTGGATTCGAGAGCTAGTAAATTAACTGGTTACAATGATAAATACTATACCTCCCAACCATCCCAGTTTTGATAGGACAGTCCCACATTACCGGTACGTTGTCCTGCTTACTGTTTCCAACAAGCATAGTGTAAGCACAGAATACGACATGCTCATGCTGTGTACAGGGAACTAGGACCCAGCTCTGAAACAAGGTCTGCCCTCAGTGGGCGGCCTAGCTCATTGGCCAGTAGTCTGGGTTGCATACACACGCCAATCTCCTCACAATCTCACCCCCTTTTTGCTCTCCTCTCCGACACCCGTTTCAGAGGACACCAGAGATGGAAGGGATGCAATACTGTGGCTACAGTGGAGAACAATGGTGAGAGCACTCAATATAGAACAAAAACTTGTACAGTAAAATTACCCAAACTGGATTTTGATCTGCAAATAAACACAGATAGAGAGAAAAAAACATAGGGTAATAACGTAAGGATAAATAAAAAGACTTAATAACTGGTCTCACTCACATAAAAAGAGCCACTTAGATAGCTGGCTCAAACTTGCATGCCTTGAATAAAAACTCTTGTAGGGCTTTCACTGGGTCCTTTCTGTAGTTGTATTCCTTACACCACCAGGAAACGCAGGTTCAAGGGGTATTTATGAAATTTATTAAACATAAATAGAAAACTACATATACAAAAGAAAGTCCCTTTAAGAAACAAGTCCAAAGAGCACCTGACGCGTTTCGGCAATAAGCCTTCATCCGAGGTAATTTTCGTAATCCAAAGCATGCTGTTTTATATCTTTGCTCCTCGCGCCCTTTTCCGCCACATTCGCGGCACTTTACTTCCGGGTTTGACGTCGGGACGCGTCCTGCGTCATCACGTCCCGACGTCTGACTTCACTTCCGGTTCGCCGCATATTAGGACGTATCGGGAACGTCGTAGAGGAAAAAGAGTGTCCTTCCGTTATAATGCCTCTGGCATTCCATGTCCAAAAGAGCCAAATGCGCTCAAAATTCACTTAAAAAAAAGGGAAAAACAAAAACAAAGAAAAAAGGGGTATACAGCCCCATACACACAATAAAATAATATAGTTAATTACATTGATACATTAGAATAGATATAATTAAAAGGATTGCCTAGGAACCTAGTAATAAAAGGGAAAACATATCAAAATGAATAATATCTAAAAATTAATAATATAATTGAATATAGAATAAAAAAACTACTATACATATAAGGATGTTAAAATATGGTATAATATATAAATGTTCATACATATTTATTAATCTCAAAATCAACGTTAAGTCCTCGTGGTGTCATCGTGTCAAGTTCAAACATCCACTTCATCTCTGCTAATCCCAAAATATACTCCTTATTTCCCCCTCTCCAATGGATTTTGATTTGGTCAATACCTATAAACTCAATACCTTTGGGATCCCCATTGTGGACTTGTAAAAAGTGACTAGAGACACTATGATTAATAAATTTTCGTTGGATATTATATATGTGTTCCCTAACTCGGATTTTTAGACTACGTGTAGTTTTACCAATATATTGAAATCCGCATGGGCACGTTACCATATAAATCACATCTTTACTTGAACATGTTAAAAAAGACTTGATCTGGTATTCTCTTTTAGTAGCAGAGGATATAAATTTTGTAATTTTCTTACTTTTGTTTAGTCTAAAAGAACAACCTCTACAGGTACCACAAAAGTGGAACCCTTTACTTCCCTTTAGAAAGTTGTCACCTTTCTCTATTTTTTCTTTATCTAAAAAACTTTGAGTTAAAATTTGTTTAAAATTACTTGCCCCTCTAAAAATAAATCTGGGTTTAACATTTAAAAAAGGAAGTACATCGGGGTCTTCTTTAAGTACATTCCAATGTTTTTTAATGACTTTTTGTAATAAATAGTTATTAGTGCTAAAATTAAAAATAAGGGGAATTTTTTCTCCGTCCTCTTTACTATTTTTATCTTCTAAATTATCTTTATTTTTGTATTTTAAAAGTGATTGTCTCTCCTTCTCTCCAATTTCCTTCTCAATTTTATCCAAATTTTCTTTCTTATATCCTTTTTCAATAAATTTCCTCTTTAAAATCTCTGCTTGTTTAAAAAATTCTTGTTCATCGGTACAGTTTCTTTTTAGCCTAAGCAGCTGTCCCTTAGGGATATTGCTGAGCCAAGGCCTAAAGTGACAACTTTTTAAATCTATAAAACTGTTGACATCAACAGTTTTAAAAAAGGTCTTACTCTTAATAACACACTCATCTATATATATAAACAGGTCTAAAAAATTAATTTGTTCTTTGCTAATTTCATAGGATAAATTGATATTATAAAAATTCTGATTAAGAGAAAGGATAAATTGTTCTAAAGACTTCCTATTCCCTTTCCATACAATAAAAATGTCATCGATGTAACGTTTATATAGGACCAGATTTGCCCCGATGTCCTCCTTAGAGAAGATATACTTTTCTTCCCAAAAGGACATAAAAAGGTTCGCATAACTCGGGGCAAATCTGGTCCCCATAGCCGTACCTAAAATTTGAAGATAAAATTTATTGTCAAACCAAAAGAAGTTATTTTTAAGGATAAAATCTATAGCTTTAATTAAAAAATCAATTTGTTGCTCATTAATATCCTTTGACTTTTCCAGATAAAATTTAGTGGCTACACAGCCTTTTTCATGTTCAATTATCGTGTATAAACTTTTTACGTCACACGTGGCCATGATATAATCTTCTTGCCATTTAAAATTATCTAGGATTTGTAAAAGACTCATTGTGTCTTTCAAATATGCTGGACATTCAATAACTTTTTTCTGTAGAAAATAATCTATATATTGGGATAGGGGTGACAACAAAGACCCTATCCCCGAAACTATGGGTCTACCAGGCGGATTAGTAACGTCTTTGTGGATCTTGGGTAGGACATAAATTACAGGTATTTTGGGGTATTTGACATCTAAAAAATCATATTCTTTTTTTGTTAAAATTCCTAAATCCAACCCATCATCTAAAAACTTTTTAAAATTTAGTTTAATCTCGGGGAGTGGGTTATTAGTTAGTTCTTTATATGTCTTGTCATCACCTAGTTGTTTATAAATCTCTTGTAAATATTTTCCTTTATCCCAAACTACAACCCCTCCTCCCTTATCCGCTGGTTTAATAATTATAGATTTGTCTTCTTTCAAATCTTTTAAAGCTAGCTTTTCCTCTTTTGTGAGGTTTTCCTGATATTTATTCATAGGTTTAATATTTTTTATATCCCTTAAACATAATTTTTCAAATGTTCGCATTACATCTGATTTGCAATTTATCGGATAAAACGAAGATTTATTTTTTAAATTAGTATGAGTAAAATTATTCTCTAAATCTAAAACTCTTTCTGATAACGAGGTATTGTTAAAAAACTTTTTAAGACTTAATTTCCTTAAAAACCTATTTAGATCTAAAAAAGAATCAAACTTATCCAGGTTACAACTAGGAGCAAATTTAAAACCCTTTTTAAAAATGCTTATATGGGCTTTTGTTAAAAGTTTTTCAGATAGATTAAAAACCCTAAAATTATCTGCTTCATCTTTACTATTTATTTTCTCCAAAAGTTTTCGTTCCTCCTCTTTTTTTCTTTCTCCCTGATTTCTATTTCTTCCTCTTCTCGTTCTCGTAATCTCTTGAGAGGGGTATAAGTTTTTCTCTTCTCCCTTGCCTCTAAAGGTCTTTCGCCTAAAAAAACATCTTGTTCTTGATGATTTTTAAGATGTTCAAATCTATTAGAGGTTACAATTGCATCATTAGTTTTTGGAGTCCATCTAGTGAATGATTTATCATTTTCATCTTTTCTACTATATTGTCTTGATCTCCTAGATTTAACTTCAATCCAGTCTTCCTGTTCTTTTTGATATTGTCTAGTTGGATTTCTGACCTCTTGTTTAGGCCATGGTTTTCCACCCCGATCTGGTCTCTTAAACGGACCAGGATAAAAATGCTCTTTTTTATCAAAAGAATTATACCTCTTATTTTGTCTTGGAGAGAAGAATTTCTCATTTCTACTTCTTTGATTATTATTCTTTCGGGGGGGTCTAATCTGTCCATTTTTATAATCTTCCTGATCCCGTTGAAGTTTCCTCTTTTTATTTTCTATAACCGTATTTTCTATACTTTTAATTTTCTTAATCATTATATCTATAATCTCATTTAGCTCATCCATATTTTTAAAAGGTTCTAAGCGAGACTGTAATTCTTTAATAGAAATATCCAATTGATGCAAGACCTGAGATTTTTGCTCCACTAGAATCCCCATCATATGTTTTGAGAAGGATTCTAGAGAGTTATTCCAAATGTCCATAAACACTGGTGATTGGTGATTGTAGCACCATTTTCCTTGTTTAGGATTTATTCACCAGTCTATTTTATTGTTACCTACTGTTATTAGCCACTGTTCTAGGTGAATTTTTCCTTTAATATGTCCATTGGACAGTTAAGGTCAGGTTGGCTTAAAGATTTGGAGACCAAATTCTCAGGAGAAACTATAAATAAAAATGGAAGTATTGTTAAAACCAATGATTTAGATACGATATGTTTACAATTAGAACGGCTCCTAATTAGAGAAATGAAGTTAAAATGGGAGGTTTTTATGCTAGAGAAATATACTATCCTCCAAATTACACCAAGGGGACTCAGGTTTCACAAATTGCCAACTTCTGACCAAGATAATCCAGTGTTTATGGACATTTGGAATAACTCTCTAGAATCCTTCTCAAAACATATGATGGGGATTCTAGTGGAGCAAAAATCTCAGGTCTTGCATCAATTGGATATTTCTATTAAAGAATTACAGTCTCGCTTAGAACCTTTTAAAAATATGGATGAGCTAAATGAGATTATAGATATAATGATTAAGAAAATTAAAAGTATAGAAAATACGGTTATAGAAAATAAAAAGAGGAAACTTCAACGGGATCAGGAAGATTATAAAAATGGACAGATTAGACCCCCCCGAAAGAATAATAATCAAAGAAGTAGAAATGAGAAATTCTTCTCTCCAAGACAAAATAAGAGGTATAATTCTTTTGATAAAAAAGAGCATTTTTATCCTGGTCCGTTTAAGAGACCAGATCGGGGTGGAAAACCATGGCCTAAACAAGAGGTCAGAAATCCAACTAGACAATATCAAAAAGAACAGGAAGACTGGATTGAAGTTAAATCTAGGAGATCAAGACAATATAGTAGAAAAGATGAAAATGATAAATCATTCACTAGATGGACTCCAAAAACTAATGATGCAATTGTAACCTCTAATAGATTTGAACATCTTAAAAATCATCAAGAACAAGATGTTTTTTTAGGCGAAAGACCTTTAGAGGCAAGGGAGAAGAGAAAAACTTATACTCCTCTCAAGAGATTACGAGAACGAGAAGAGGAAGAAATAGAAATCAGGGAGAAAGAAAAAAAGAGGAGGAACGAAAACTTTTGGAGAAAATAAATAGTAAAGATGAAGCAGATAATTTTAGGGTTTTTAATCTATCTGAAAAACTTTTAACAAAAGCCCATATAAGCATTTTTAAAAAGGGTTTTAAATTTGCTCCTAGTTGTAACCTGGATAAGTTTGATTCTTTTTTAGATCTAAATAGGTTTTTAAGGAAATTAAGTCTTAAAAAGTTTTTTAACAATACCTCGTTATCAGAAAGAGTTTTAGATTTAGAGAATAATTTTACTCATACTAATTTAAAAAATAAATCTTCGTTTTATCCGATAAATTGCAAATCAGATGTAATGCGAACATTTGAAAAATTATGTTTAAGGGATATAAAAAATATTAAACCTATGAATAAATATCAGGAAAACCTCACAAAAGAGGAAAAGCTAGCTTTAAAAGATTTGAAAGAAGACAAATCTATAATTATTAAACCAGCGGATAAGGGAGGAGGGGTTGTAGTTTGGGATAAAGGAAAATATTTACAAGAGATTTATAAACAACTAGGTGATGACAAGACATATAAAGAACTAACTAATAACCCACTCCCCGAGATTAAACTAAATTTTAAAAAGTTTTTAGATGATGGGTTGGATTTAGGAATTTTAACAAAAAAAGAATATGATTTTTTAGATGTCAAATACCCCAAAATACCTGTAATTTATGTCCTACCCAAGATCCATAAAGACGTTACTAATCCGCCTGGTAGACCCATAGTTTCGGGGATAGGGTCTTTGTTGTCACCCCTATCCCAATATATAGATTATTTTCTACAGAAAAAAGTTATTGAATGTCCAGCATATTTGAAAGACACAATGAGTCTTTTACAAATCCTAGATAATTTTAAATGGCAAGAAGATTATATCATGGCCACGTGTGACGTAAAAAGTTTATACACGATAATTGAACATGAAAAAGGCTGTGTAGCCACTAAATTTTATCTGGAAAAGTCAAAGGATATTAATGAGCAACAAATTGATTTTTTAATTAAAGCTATAGATTTTATCCTTAAAAATAACTTCTTTTGGTTTGACAATAAATTTTATCTTCAAATTTTAGGTACGGCTATGGGGACCAGATTTGCCCCGAGTTATGCGAACCTTTTTATGTCCTTTTGGGAAGAAAAGTATATCTTCTCTAAGGAGGACATCGGGGCAAATCTGGTCCTATATAAACGTTACATCGATGACATTTTTATTGTATGGAAAGGGAATAGGAAGTCTTTAGAACAATTTATCCTTTCTCTTAATCAGAATTTTTATAATATCAATTTATCCTATGAAATCAGCAAAGAACAAATTAATTTTTTAGACCTGTTTATATATATATAGATGAGTGTGTTATTAAGAGTAAGACCTTTTTTAAAACTGTTGATGTCAACAGTTTTATAGATTTAAAAAGTTGTCACTTTAGGCCTTGGCTCAGCAATATCCCTAAGGGACAGCTGCTAAGGCTAAAAAGAAACTGTACCGATGAACAAGAATTTTTTAAACAAGCAGAGATTTTAAAGAGGAAATTTATTGAAAAAGGATATAAGAAAGAAAATTTGGATAAAATTGAGAAGGAAATTGGAGAGAAGGAGAGACAATCACTTTTAAAATACAAAAATAAAGATAATTTAGAAGATAAAAATAGTAAAGAGGACGGAGAAAAAATTCCCCTTATTTTTAATTTTAGCACTAATAACTATTTATTACAAAAAGTCATTAAAAAACATTGGAATGTACTTAAAGAAGACCCCGATGTACTTCCTTTTTTAAATGTTAAACCCAGATTTATTTTTAGAGGGGCAAGTAATTTTAAACAAATTTTAACTCAAAGTTTTTTAGATAAAGAAAAAATAGAGAAAGGTGACAACTTTCTAAAGGGAAGTAAAGGGTTCCACTTTTGTGGTACCTGTAGAGGTTGTTCTTTTAGACTAAACAAAAGTAAGAAAATTACAAAATTTATATCCTCTGCTACTAAAAGAGAATACCAGATCAAGTCTTTTTTAACATGTTCAAGTAAAGATGTGATTTATATGGTAACGTGCCCATGCGGATTTCAATATATTGGTAAAACTACACGTAGTCTAAAAATCCGAGTTAGGGAACACATATATAATATCCAACGAAAATTTATTAATCATAGTGTCTCTAGTCACTTTTTACAAGTCCACAATGGGGATCCCAAAGGTATTGAGTTTATAGGTATTGACCAAATCAAAATCCATTGGAGAGGGGGAAATAAGGAGTATATTTTGGGATTAGCAGAGATGAAGTGGATGTTTGAACTTGACACGATGACACCACGAGGACTTAACGTTGATTTTGAGATTAATAAATATGTATGAACATTTATATATTATACCATATTTTAACATCCTTATATGTATAGTAGTTTTTTTATTCTATATTCAATTATATTATTAATTTTTAGATATTATTCATTTTGATATGTTTTCCCTTTTATTACTAGGTTCCTAGGCAATCCTTTTAATTATATCTATTCTAATGTATCAATGTAATTAACTATATTATTTTATTGTGTGTATGGGGCTGTATACCCCTTTTTTCTTTGTTTTTGTTTTTCCCTTTTTTTTAAGTGAATTTTGAGCGCATTTGGCTCTTTTGGACATGGAATGCCAGAGGCATTATAACGGAAGGACACTCTTTTTCCTCTACGACGTTCCCGATACGTCCTAATATGCGGCGAACCGGAAGTGAAGTCAGACGTCGGGACGTGATGACGCAGGACGCGTCCCGACGTCAAACCCGGAAGTAAAGTGCCGCGAATGTGGCGGAAAAGGGCGCGAGGAGCAAAGATATAAAACAGCATGCTTTGGATTACGAAAATTACCTCGGATGAAGGCTTATTGCCGAAACGCGTCAGGTGCTCTTTGGACTTGTTTCTTAAAGGGACTTTCTTTTGTATATGTAGTTTTCTATTTATGTTTAATTAATTTCATAAATACCCCTTGAACCTGCGTTTCCTGGTGGTGTAAGGAATACAACTACAGAAAGGACCCAGTGAAAGCCCTACAAGAGTTTTTATTCAAGGCATGCAAGTTTGAGCCAGCTATCTAAGTGGCTCTTTTTATGTGAGTGAGACCAGTTATTAAGTCTTTTTATTTATCCTTACGTTATTACCCTATGTTTTTTTCTCTCTATCTGTGTTTATTTGCAGATCAAAATCCAGTTTGGGTAATTTTACTGTACAAGTTTTTGTTCTATATTGAGTGCTCTCACCATTTGTACCTTTTATTGTCACTTGTATTTATTTAGTGGGTTTTTGGTGGCTCCACTAAGGTGATTGTAGCACCATTTTCCTTGTTTAGGATTTATTCACCAGTCTATTTTATTGTTACCTAGTGGAGAACAATGCCACGTTTTGAGTTTAGTTAGATCCTTTTGTGATTCAGGTGCAATAGATATCTGTGTCTCCCCTCCATATTATACTAGATAATACAATGCATTGTGGGACTGCTCTATTTAAATGAAGGCATGTTGTAACCGATTATAAACCTCCTTTATTTCCCTACCCTCTTATAAGTCTCGTCACAGTCATAATGTTACAGAATAGTTTGCTTGTTAAAAATAAAACCCCAATTAATAAAGAATTTAAATGTAAACAGTAAGCAGATAATTTGAGATGCAGTGAGTAAGAAAAACCTGATAGATATGGGCAGACAATGAATGGAATTTAAATTGATGGATACATAGTGATACGTGTCCCTTCTCTGCAATCAGACAGTGGGATTCTTCTTCTTGTGATGAATACAGAAAATCCTGCATTGTTCTTTCTCGCTTCGCTGGTTTATTATAGGATCATCTCCATGAAACTCTCTTTTAAATAGCAAAAAAAGGGAGAATAAAGTCAAATAAGATCAAAAAATAAACCTGTGTCTCATGTTAAATAGTGAGCTCTATAGCCCCGGTTTCATCTTTTAGCCTAATCTAGCCGGTAACTGTAGCGAGTCACGGAGTCATATGCATAGGGAACGTTATTCGCTAGAGAGGGAAATGTAGCAAATCTGTAAAATTTACGTAAAATCATAACATGAGCATTAACAATGGTGGAGATTTTTTTCCAGTTTTTTCCCAAATTAATAATGCCAACATACTTTAATATCTACATACAGTAAGTACTAGTGCCTGCCTGTAACCTGGACTCTGAACTATGTGGGTATTGAAGGCTGTTAAAGGAACACTATAGTCAACTAAGTTACTTTAGCTAAATAAAGCGGTTTTAGTGTATAGATCATTCCCCTGCAATTTCACTGCTCAATTCACTGTCATTTAGGAGTTAAATCACTTTGTTTCTGTTAATGCAGCCCTAGCCACACCCCCAGCTATGATTGACAGAGCCTGCATGAAAAAAAAACTGGTTTCACTTTCAAACAGATGTAATTTACCTTAAATAATTGTATCTCAATCTCTAAATTGAACTTTAATCACATACAGGAGGCTCTTGCAGGGTCTAGCAAGCTATTAACATAGCAGGTGATAAGAAAATCTTAATTAAACAGAACTTGCAATAAAGAAAGCCTAAATAGGGCTCTCTTTACAGGAAGTGTTTATGGAAGGCTGTGCAAGTCACATGCAGGGAGGTGTGACTAGGGTTCATAAACAAAGGGATTTAACTCCTAAATGGCAGAGGATTGAGCAGTGAGGCTGCAGGGGCATGTTCTATACACCAAAACTGCTTCATTAAGCTAAAGTTGTTCAGGTGACTATAGTGTCCCTTTAATGTATCTTCCACCTGCTGTTAGGATACATCTTGGTACATTGTGTTACAAGGTTGCAAATAGATGTTTATTTAGTGATATCATCAGTGCTGTGAGGAGCAGGTTCCATGATGTGAATGGCAAGCCTGTCTTACTAATGTACAGGTTTGTTCCAATAATCCTGATCACCACTGATAAAAATATTCACTTCTACTCCACATTATCGCTAGCGATTCCATGAATGAATTACTTGATTCTAGTAACTTCTCCTAAGGGACAATAAAGAAGAAAGACAGTAATACAC